GAAGAAACGAAATTAAAATCACAGTGCCCGACATGTTTGTGGTTCTTACAGTGGGCCACCAGATGGCTCCACAGAAGAAAGCCTACGCAAGGGACATGTCAATTCAATAGCAGCTGTGTGTTTTTGGAAGGTCGTCTTGCCAAAAAACAATGTTCAAGGCTCACCGAAATAAACAACTTAAGACCTCATCTCAGTCTTTTTGGCCACATCGTGCTGGCGTGCCTGGGTGTGCGGGCGCGGTTTGTGGAGAAGAAGGATCCAGGGCTGAAAAAATGAAGTCATTCACAGCCTTCATCTCTTCTTTGCACGGTCATTCTTTCTGTTTTGTGTCTGTGTGCGTGTGTCTACGGGGTGCCCTGACCTGGGGTATGTGCCGTTTGTGAGTTTTGTTTGCACTCTAATTTGTTTCGTCATGGAAAAGAGTTCCCCGGGGTGACATAAGGTACGCATAGCGTGGTCCAGGGTTTGTTCCTCACTTGCCAGATAGTTCTCGAAATTGCAGATTCATTTAGGCCATGTTTACAGTATTGATGTGCAGTCATGCTGTGGTCTCGGACGCTGGGTTGCTATCAGGTGTCACGATTTAAAATATGATTCTTTCGCTCGTGAAACACACTGGGAAACTGAGAAGAGTGGGAAGGATGGGAAGATTGACGAACACCAGCCTTCGCTGCCTGTATCTATTCACAGCAGGGTCAGGTAGAAGAGCTCCCATCTAAATCTTGGATGGCCCGAGATCCCGGGCTTTGGGCGTATCGATTTGGAGGGTCCCAAAAGCCACGGTGTTTTTGCATCAAAGCAGTTCTATGGAAATGTACAATCTTGAAGAGTTGATGATCTTCCTCGTTGGGTTTCCCGTATTAACAATTGCATTCCAATGCATGTCACCAAAATTGGCACGGGCGCAAAAATTCTTCACGCTGGGGATCTAGGAGCAAATAAACATGCCTTTAGTTCTAGCCAAGCAATTTCATCCAAACCAATGTCGGTCTTCAACTGTTCTTTAAGCCCTAGACTTTTGCGCAGCCTGAAAAATTCATTTGAATTCATTATCTGGGCAAGTTTATCCTCAAACGCCTGTGTTTGCCGACACCACGGTGGAGAAGAAGGATTCCGGGGATGGGGTGGGGGAGGGTTCCGCCGTTCTTGGGTCGATTTCAGGTGGTTCGGCAGTTATGGTTTCTGCGACCCTCAAATTCAGAAAAAAACAAGCATTTTGCGTTCATGGTGTCGTGGGACAAGCAGTCAACGGGGACTACATAAAGAAAAGTTGACATGAAGTTGTTCCATGGCTTAAAAACAAAATAGTTCCGGGCTTGGAAAAAAGGGCCAGATGTCTCATGAGAAGTGTTGTGAAGCACATGACGCCCGATTGACACATGCCTATGTCGCTTGGAGCAAGCATAACGGCCTATATCCACCCTGGTTGCCCGCCTGCGAAAATGACGTGGCGGCACCAGATTTGATTAAACAATGCCTACGAGGAACGTCGCATCGCTTAATTTTTACTTGGCATACATCAGTGCTTTCTTTCTCCCACACCGTGAAGATACTGGACGCGGAATGGGAAGTGAGGTGAAGTGAAGTGAAACCTGTGCGTGCTTGTCCAAGGCAACACGCCAGGAACCAAGTTTCGTGTAAGGACAGTATGCTTGCAGTCTGTCATCCCATTGCCGTTCTGCGCCCCGCTCTACGGTTTTCATCGGTGTTCCAGCTCAGCACACGCGGAACGGCCCAACGATCCACCGAAGCGCCAGTATTGCCCAACCTTTGATACCAGCTGCTTCCATGCATACGTCCGCTCGTAAATTCCATTCATGAAGGATAGTGTGCCATTGGGCGGGCCAATCAAAAGGACCAAGTGGGCCAACAATGCGCCCTACGCAGGGGATGCGCTGTGCTCAACATGAGCCACATACTTATTGCCGTCATTTGCGTTCTGCTGCTTGCTCTATGTAAAGGAGGTCAACAGTTGACACAAAACAACATCGTGGTTCAAGACCTCCCTGTCACTTGCCAGAGCGTTCTGGGATTTTTTGCGCTTCTTATTTCGGCAGCAGCTAGTACCACCACACAGCGAATGCACACCATAGAGGTTCAGGAACGTTTTTCCCTGTTCAGCCACTTTGGACCAAGCTGTTAAAATTATGTCTTTGAATTCCAGGTTGCCTGACATTTTTAGATCTGTATATCCCAACATTGTTAAAGAAAAATGAAAACCCAGCGGTCCGGCATCTCCAACAGACATGCTAATAACATGTCCCGTTTCTCAACATCTGTCTCCGAAACATGTCAGACAAATCCAAGGGTAGTGAAAGCCTCTGGAAATATCCAGGGATAAGCAACGGGGATCACAAGGTCGGCACACCCTATCACTTTCCTGAAGTAAATGCTGTGCTGTGCCTCAATGAAGGCTGCAATATTCGAATCTTGGTCCGTGCGGGCCGGCTCAGGGGCATTCGGCCCCAGACGGGCCCAGCATCGCTGGCGGGCGAGGCTCACTCGGCCGAGGGCAGTGCAAGCCTCACCCAGAGCGGCTTCGCTGTGGGCACAGTCGAGGTAGTGGTCTGACCGGGGGTGGGTTCATATCGGACGTCTTCCCACACGCCCGCGGGTGACGCAGCGCTGCAGTAGGGAGCGGCCAAATGCGGGGAGGCGGAGGCGGAGGGCTGGGTGTGTGTATCTGATTGGAGGCAAAGCCAGGCCGCAAATTGAAGGGATTGATTGCATACCAAAACGAAACTTTCGCGTGAGACTTCTCCCGTTCACTGCGCCTACCACAAAATCTGAGCATGACAAAGGCCACCACTTATACTGTGCCCGCCATAATTTGCACATTCAAGTAATCGTGCGTTCCACAACAAGCCACCTCCAGACCATCAAAACATGAAAAATCTCTTGTGCTTGCGAACGGACCAGTGAGCTTCATTCTCCGAAACGACGCACACCACGATGTTCATTCGCACCGACCCGCCCAGTGCACCGACCAACGACCAGCCCTTCGGAACGACCACCCCACGCGACGAAAGGGTCACTGCCCCGGTCAGCGTGTCACGTCGGCGCCGTTTTCGGAGGCGGAGGAGTTGTGAAGGTCAGTAAATGGGACTTGCACCCAGTTGGGAAGCATTTGGGAGGTCAGAGGTCTTCGAGTAGAGCTTGCTGCCTTGAACGATTGGCATGTTTTTCGGGTTGGACAGTAAGGAGAATGAAGTGATTGATTCCAAACATGTCCAAACCATTCGTGTTTTTGAGTCGTCTCACAGGATAAAAACGCCTTATGCCAAGTATCGCAGTTTGGATCGAGAAGCCAAGCCATCTGGTTTTTGGATTGAATTCACAGGTCTCTGAAATGAAGCTGCTTGTGGAGAAGTATAGCAGATGATTCTGGAGGTTGCTGGCATGAATCCTTGTGAAATTTCTTCTCTCCCTTCCGGAAAGGCCCAAAAGTCCCATCGCCGAAGAAGTGGGCACGGACAGGTGCTTCGCTCTACAGCACCTGCGGACCTCTTGGACACGCTGACCGCGCTGACCGACCGCGCTGACCCACCGCGCCGAGAGGTGGCTCGAGTCGGCGAGTGGAGGGGAGGGAGTGGGGTCTCGGGACTCAAAGGGAAGACGTGAAACCCGAGGTGAATGTGTTCGATGATTTGCCACGGGTCAAAAAGCCATGAGATGGCTGCAGGTTCAAAGGAAATCATGAGAACCAGATCGAAATGGTCAGTGAAAAAAACACAATAATCATCCATCGGTTCTGTAGCTATAGCTGTTGCCATCCAAGTCCATGTCTGCTGCCCACACAGGTCTGTCTAAATCCTCATGGTCTCATTCCAACTTCGATCATCACTCCATCACTAAGTGGCACTTTGTAGACTTGATGCTCTTTGTGCCTTTTCATGAGGGATGGGTTTTGAGCGATGCATTGTTAGCTCGCCTTCTCGCCACGGTCTCTGTGCGATGCCATTCTCTCCACGGTCCGGTTCTCGTCCACGGAGGCGGGCCCGTCAAGCCCCCGGGTGAAGGAGGTAGCGCGGAGAAAAGGAGAGCAGTCGTATTCAGCGGAGTTCCAACCTCGCGGATACGTGGCGAACTGAAGACTCGGTCGGTCGGTCCGTATCACGCAGCCTGGAACTCGGCCGGCGCCGTGGCGGAGGATCTTTGCACGTCTCGGTGGAATCACGACACCGCGAAGGAGCGCAGCAGCAGGTTGGGCGGGTGATGGAAAGCAGATGCCCTCAAGTTCTCAAGCATTCCAGTCGAAAGCTGATCTCTTTGCCGCCAAAAGCAACTCTCAAAAGCTGTGTCCTCTGTTGTAGCGGCATCCAGGCGGCGTCCGCAGCATGCGCCTTTAGTGGTCGAACCCAGATCCGTTGACCCGGGGTTGACCCCACCATGTGATAATTAGAAGATGATCAAAGACCAGTTACAGGTCGGTCGGGGTCTCAATCGCCATGTCCTTGCGGGAAAGAGTTTACAACGCATTAACCAAGAGATCAATGTCAGGACACCAGCCCAGCAAGAGCGCTGGAAAGCCAGCGTCGCACCGCTTCAAAACATCCCTCCCAGCGCACGAAAACGTCCATGTTCGACCACCTGGAGCAATGGTCCCAAAAACGCCGCCCAAATCGTAAGAAAACGGGCGATGTGGACATGACTGGAGGGACTCACCAGTTCAATCAGTGAAGCCGCCGTGCTTCTTCTGCACGCGCAAAAAAGAATGTGCGACGAGGTGCACACGACGGAAGCAGGACGGAACTGACACAGTCAGCTGGTGCGACAAACTGACAAACTGCACAAAAATACAACGCTCTTTTCTGCATGTCTCATTGTCTCATCCATAGTCTCTGAAGCGAACTCTGGCTGACCAGCAGAAGAGGAACGTGGATGTTCTTTTCATCAACACCCAGAAAATGGAATCCACTGAACCCTGGCTGACCAGCAACAAGCTGAAATCACCAGACTTTGTACACGGCGTTCAGTGCACCGAACGCTCCGCGTCACTTCTAGTCGTCCTTGTCGACGGGGAAGATATCTACGCTCAGCCCTTGAGCTTTCAGGCTTTCGCAATAAGCCTTCCCAGGTGGAAATCGCAGAAGTATCAAACACAGCTCAGAGATGGCTGTGGGTAAAAGCAACTGTTTGACCGTGGTACCAGCAGGTTGTCCACCCACACTGCCGTGTTTTCAGATCGGATCAACCAGGGTCTCGTCGGCTGACCAGACTCCCCTGACGTCTGCTATGTCTGCTGATGGGGGTGCTAGGTGGAACTTGATTTTTTCAAAGCACATTCAAGAATGGTACCCTGCCTGAAATCATCATGGAAGGGAGTGGCACGTAGGCTTCTGGAAGAGCATGTTTCTCTACAGGTGGCTTTCCACTTCCATGTGAGAGACACAAACAGAGGGCGAGAGAGAGAGAGAGAGAATGACTCAGAGAGTAACCAGGTCTAACGTCCAAAATCATGGGATCAGGTTCAAAATCCCTCATCCGGGTTGAACATGCTTTGCGTCTGCACCGTGTCTTAGGAAAAAAAAAGAAACCCTTCATGTGTGGAGGATTCATGTTCATGTTGAACCTCCACAATAGATGATCCCCCCCAACAAAACATGAATAGATCCAGTGGACCAGTGGGTGTCATAAACAGTCACTAGCCTAGCGACAATGCAGATGCCTTTTTCCCGGCCCACCTTCACCTATCCTAAGAGCTACAGCATGAAGCATGCCATCTCATGCTCAACAACTTAGTTTGTTGGACTTACAAAAAGAAACAACCATTCCGATCGTGCTCAACAACTTCCCACGCCTCAGCCGTCTCAAATGCATAGGTTCCAACCACTGCCACACCTTCTTTGTGGGCCTTCATCATGACCTCTCAGGACTCGTTGCCGCAGAAACGCACTGACACGGTCGCACGCCGCACCGGTCGCATGCCGCACCCGTGAGACCCGCGACCCGGTCAGCGAGGTCGGACCGACTGAGCCCCGTCTGTTCGAGGTCGGGGCCTGGTAAGCATCACCCTCTTTGAGCAAGCAAATGGTCATCAAGCACCTGCCCGGTGGTTTCCGCGACGACAACCGGGCAGAGACGCACGGGCACGGATGGTGTTCATGAGGATGGACACTTGGCGGGTTCTTCAAAGGTCGGAGCCCAAGATAGTCCAAGACAAGGAATGAACGAACATAGGAATCTCGCCTTGCCACATACTCACGCTTGTTCAAGGGATCGTTGAAGAGCACCAGGCGGTACTCATCTGCTCTCTTCTGTTTGGTCTCCTCGACAGCGCTGGCCCGCGCGAAAAGCGAGCGCGGAGGGCCCGTCTCGACAGGGTGTATCGGTCTCTGAAACTCGAGTTTCCGGTACCGCAAACATCCCTCATCTCAGGGAAGGCATGGTTGAAGAACAGAAGGAAGACCATGTGTGACGCACGGAAAGCACACGTTGCACCATGTGTCCAACATCTTCATCTGGAGGAGCGACCCCTTTTCCGACCTGTTTTCACAGGACTCGACCCTTCGGCCGCCTTCGGCCGCCTTCGGCCGCCTTCGGCCCTTAGACCCTCCACCTTCGGCCTCTCGACCCCGCTGCGCCTCCTCGACTTTGGCTCCAGGCAGCGCCACCGTCGTGGTCACCGGTGGCTCGCGCACTGGAAGATCCACGGCCCGCCTCCGGCGTGGAGACGTCCACGGGGCGAACGGAGAGGAGTCTGAGGACCAAATCGCCGGTGGTGGAAGAGGACCGGTGGTTGCATGAGTTGATCGCCACCAAACAAGATAGATCCCCATGCAGTGGATCATAGACCTTGTTTTACAGCAAAGAAACTGGTTTACCAACGACACCGGGCCCCGGTGCAGGGTGGATCGAATCGAAGAGGTGCCGTCTTTCACCGTGTTCTTGGGCGTTTGCAAAACGAGACCGCGAAGAGGGAGTAAGGCACTTCATCTGGTGTAGAGTCGCTTACTCCGGACGTGGAACCAACTCCGTGATGATCTGCATCGGTCTTCGTGGCCTTGCGGTTCGGCGCCACGCCGTCCGTGAGCAAGCGCTAAGGAGCACGGTGCCTGGGCATGCGCGTGGCGTTGCTTCCCAAAAGTAGGAACTGGCACAAGGAAGGCCTGCTTGTAGAAGTTTCCAACGCTCAAACAGGTTGCGGACGGTTACGAGAAGATGTCACCTCTGATACCTGAAAGTGTGAAATTGCTAATAAGACCACGCCGTATGTTCCGGCACTTGCTACTACCCCTATCCAAGACACCATCCAAACAACTGACATGACCGACCGCTTCTCTCAAGACTGTTTCTGTATGCTCAAAATATGTTCTAAAATCATCACACATATGCGCTTCGTCTGCTCGTCCCTCTTCCTGGTCATGCAAAAAAATGCAAAAAAGTATCAAAAATGTTCAAGAAAACCACACCCGTTGGCCATTGGAGATATAATAATATATAAACGCAACACTTCTTCGCCTGGAGCCCTTTCTTCGTGTCATACAAATGGAAAAAAAGGCACCTCCGAACTGCCCTGCCCTTGGTTCGGCCGCCCTGACCTGCAAGGCATCCATCTGCCCTAGCGGAAAAGGAAAAGCTGGTAGCAGCTCGGTGCACCTCCAAGCTTTGCGGAGGAAGAGGTCGGGATCCGGGTTGGCCCGCGGCCGCGGTGTTTCGAAGCGCTTTCAAAGCGTTGTGGAGGTGACCAGGGACCCCTTTGGTAGACCAAAGCATGTGGTCACAAGACTTGAGAGCGAATTTGATCAGTCAGGTCCTTTGTGGTGAAGCTGCTTTCGCAATGCTGGCAATGACCGGCTTACTGTTTTTACTGTTTGAGATGTGGTTGTGCGGACCCTCTTCTGTCATCTTTTGTTCAGAAATGACCTTGAGAACTTGAGGCTAAGTTTGCCTCACTGCCATTGTTCGGAAAAGGAGTTCGATCTCACCATACATCGCTCGGTGATGCTGGTAATGCAAGTGACCCGGATCACCATAGCCGACACCTGAAGTGGTCCAGGCAATTTAGTGCTGAAGAATCATCTGTCCGCGGCCACAGCCACACATGCTCACACTGACATGGCGGCAGAAACTCTCGCAGGTCCAAAGTACTGGAAGAGAGAAAAAAGCAGTGCCACAGGTGCCACACCTAAACGGCCCGAAAAAGCAAAAAAAAATTAAAGGACTTCGTTCCCCAAAGCCTCCGAGGCCGGACAAGGACATCTCTCCGGTGGCACACCTGAAGAGGGAAGAGATCGAGTCTCATCGTTACTTTTTACAGGTCGTTGAAGATTGGTCGAGTCTCGTCGATGTAGCGATGCTTCAGTGGAACCTTTGCAGACTAAGAAAGCGGCTGGCGTAGCCGGGCACATGTCGAGAGAGAGCAAATGTAGTAGCCATCGCCGTCAGATGGCTGCGGAAGTACAAAATGCATCGCCGTCGTCCATGAAAAGAACCTGGTCCGACAAATGTCAAAGTCTGATGAAGAGGCTGCTGCAGTCTTTTCCGGGGGTGCGCACCACTCAGACTACGAGCTACATACCTTTCTCCACCCATATCTGACATGCAGCTCCTAGAAAAGGAAAGGCAAAAGACTGCTCCTCAAAGAATTGACAAGAGGAGCTCTATATCAGCTCGTTCTGTACGAGCCCGTCCAACTTTTGGTAGCCAGCCGTGACTTTGACGCTGCTTCTGCTTGCAGGATTGGAAGGATGGCGTTTCGCGTCCTTCGGGCAAATTCCATGTATCCTTCATCATGGAAGTGCACCCCGTCATGAGCAAGATCTGGATTCAAAGATTCCAAATCCACCAGAAAGCGCTTGCTGAAGCCACGTTGTGTAGCATATCCGGCCATGAAATAACGAAGCTGCTGGTTCAGCTTCAGGCGAGCCGTATTCCGACTTGCCAAAGGCGGCAATGTCAAGACACCCACATGTGGAAAGAAGGCAGCATTGGCCGCTGTCTCACAAATGGCCCGGATGTTGTTGACAATCTGCGGAATTCGAAAGTCCAATTGGTGTGGATGCGAATGCAAAAGGTCATTGGTGCCCGCCAGTACCAACACGAAAGCCAGCCGGCCCCCCTCTGCCAAAGCAGACTGTAGAGCTGAAGGTAGGCGTTTCAAAACATCCTGCGATGTTTCCCCCCAAACACCGGAGCTATGAACTTTCACCTGCACACCTTCTTCGTCCAGAAGTCTCTGCAACAAAGAGGGATATGAGCGGCAACCCTTCTTGCCTGCTGTCAAGCTATCTCCAATGCACAAGATCACATCCCGGCCAGAATTGCTGGGCGCGGGCGGCACTGTTGAGATTGCAAGGGACACCTGAGAACTTGACGTGCCCAGTCGTGGAGAACGTCTGGACTGCATGATGCAAGAGTAGCTTCGGCTGGAAGAGTGGCCGGAGTGGGAGCCATGTCTGGCAGAATATCCACTACGCTGAGTATAGTACCCACTGCGCTGAGTGGTATAGCCACTTCTCTGAGTGGTATAGCCACTGCGCTGGGTGGGATAGCCACTGCGCTGAGTGGGATAGCCACTGCGCTGAGTGGTATGCCCACTTCGATGCGTGGTGGAACCAGTTCCTTTGACATTCACCTCGGATACTTCACACAAAAATCAACGTGTCCACTCCTTGCCTAGTCAGGACATTCGCTTCGCAGGTCATTCTTGCAATTCCATCCAAAACAGCTTGAAACAGCTTGGCAACGACTCGGACCCGGTCGAACGTCGGTTTAAATTCCGTGGTCGACTCGTGCGACAAGCTAAGGTCTCGGCTAAGGTCGTTGGTGTGGCAACCTTGTACACCGGATACTGAGCGGAAAAGCGGTTTGTTACGACCACTGTCTTCTTTGGCTGCAACATCGCGGTCGTTGGGTGCGTGCACGAAAGCCAGACTGACGCTTTCGTTTCGGGGGATGAAAGCCAGCAGACTCAGTGAGGTCGTGTGTCTGTGTGTGTGTGATTGGGTGTGTGTGATTTCCCCCAGGAAAGTCTAGTAAAGCTGGGCTTAGTATCTTGCAGTTTGGCTGTGCTCTTGATTCAAATGTCTGAACACTCTGGCTAGCACGCAATCAGCAAAGTAAAGTATGAATCATCCAGCACTGGACAAAGAAAAGCAGCCTCTCTTCGGCATACTTACAAGTTTGCTTTAGCGAGCTAAGTAAGTGTTTGAAAACCTTGACTACGTACCAAGGTGCTTCAGAGTTTTACATCGCTCACCCTGATTGTTCATGGCTGTTGCAACAGCGCTGCCACCAATTTGGAGAAGCACTGCATGAGACCCTTCTGCAGAAACCTGGGTCTAGGACATTCCCTCATCCGCAGGTGGGATGTTGAATGGTCCGCGGATACTCCACAGCACACGGGACGGCTCCTCATCGCACTGTGGGAGACACTATCGACCCTCCTCGGACACCTGGGCGCAGCTCTGGTCGTCATCCTCTACTCAGCAACTTGGCTTCAAGGTCCTGCAAAGGAACCCTCCATTCATTCATGTCATTAACAATTCCTGGATGAATATTATGATGAATCAAAATTCCCCAAAGCCATCCATGTTCCATCTGGACGCAACGAAACAACACATCGAATGACAAAAACAAGACTTCGGCGACGTCGTCAGGACTCCTCAAGGCGCTTCTCTAGGAGGCGATGTTGAGCCTCGCGCTCCTGTTGTTTCAAGGTCTGTATACGGTCTTTCAAGGTGGGTTTCTCGTGTGGAGAGTGGGGTTTCAAGAAACCAGTGGCACCCCTACTTTTGGGGGAGGAAGAGGAGAATCCAAGACGTTTTGCACCAACGTCGGAAACGATCTACATGGATCTACAGAAATCCTGGGTCCCCATTTCGACCCAGGGAGCCTCGACAAACCCTCGACAAACCGTGCAGTCACATGGTGAACGGCACACCGTGAGTTGCCGCACCAAACGGCACACCGATGTTTCTGCCGCAACAGTTCTGTCCATGCCGTACCGTGAGTGCTGGCTGCTGGTACCCGTGAGTTGCCCCAACCAAATACCACCGGATTGGGGCTCCTTCCGGAGCTGTTCCACCTCCGGCAGCAGCTCTGCGATGCGCGCGTCCAAGTTCGCCCTGGCGCGTGGCGCGAGCAAGCTCCATGTGGGGCGCGACCTCGCCCTGGGGTCAACGGTTGCATCCCAACTGGCCACTTTGGGGGCAAATTCTGAAAAAAGCTTCGCAGTGGCTTCGTGAACCTCGAGTGCACCGAAGCGGCTTCGTGGTTTGGTTTCGGCCAGCTGCGGGTTTGCACCCTGATCGGGGCAGCCACGAAAAAAAAACTGTTCCAACGGTGTCGGCCCCGCAACTTCTCGAGAGCTTCTCCTGACCACAGACGACCACAGGCCCACCCCGGAGAGTGGGGAGATGGGGGGAGAGCGACCGAAAGGGTTCTGCTTGCTTCGCTATACTGCACCAGGGCCGACCAGGGCGGCCCTGGTTGGGCGAACAAGGTGGACACGACCCATCCCCATAAGTCCCCATATTTGAGGAGGGTGTTGGAAGGTCTGGCAAAGAGCAGCTCACTGGATTGACGCTTGGACACGAGGCAAAAGGTGAAACCTTGGCATGGCTCAACTCCCAAGTGCCCTAGTGTCTAATGGGAGGTTGCCTATTGCGAGTCTTTAGGAGTTCTGCCCTAGCCAGAATAAGAGTTCGACATCTTCTCTGAGCCACGCCTCTGGCTTGCTCATAGGTCTGTGTTTGTACCTGAAACAAAGGCGGTGCTGGGCAATACCGAGTCTTCCCGTTCCGATCAGGCAAGACTGCACAAACAAGTGGCCTCGGACACGGAATCCTCAAGCTTCCTGAAAAAAGTGTGTGTGTGTCCAACTGAGTGTGGGTCCAACTTGTTTAACAGAAAAAAAGAAACGCCCAATTTGCCAATGAGTTGTGTGTCCGGTGTCCAAGGACCGATCGCATGACTCACTAGTCCTCATCCCCAAGTCCTCACCCATCCGGTTTTCAACCGATCCAGCGCCTCTGGACCTCGCCCAAGTCCTTAAGTCCAGCGAGTGGTTTGGTGGCAAGGGATTTGGATGGTGCCTGGGTGGTTTGAGGGATTTGCTTCGGTGCCCAGCGAGTGGCTTTTTCCGAAAAGCTCCAACACGGCCTTCTTCAGTTCCAACCGAGAATCGGAGTCTGAGGCCGCCCCGGCTGACTCGAAGCCGGGCCTCCACAAGCTGCAAGCTGTGGGAGAATGTGCTGTTCCAAAGAGGTGCTGTTGGACAGCCGACCTCAAAGCTGTTCCAAATGTTGCTTCAAGTCCTTAGCACAGGCGATCTCCGGTCCGGTCAAACGACAGTGAAGTACCCCTTTCAAGTGCTCAAACGAGCACGTCCCAGACAAAAATATATAGTTTTTCTTGAGGTCAACTAAGTTCAATTGAGTCGAAGCAGCCCTCCATGCGAAGCATGCCGTTAGCTTCAACCGTCGGGAGCAGCTCTCCGTTAACAGCTCCGTTAACAGCTCCGCGCGGAGCTTCATCCACTCGCAGGAGGTGTCAACAAAAAGATCGAAATGTGCACGACCTCTCATGTTGGTAGGAAATATATACATCGAAGTACATCGGAGTGTTCTGGTTGACTCACACTTGGACCTTCAACTTCACCAATGCATCATGTGGAATCTTGTCCACTCTACTCTGAGCCAATATCGCCAGCTGAAATTCAGGTGTGAAAACAAGTTGCCGAGCCAATGTATGCAAGTCTCAACTGATTTCAGGAACTCGGTTTGCAAACATCAACCATCCTTTTTCGAAGTAAACACTTCTTGCAACTAAGCTTTGCTATGGCAAAAATGTAAGAACGAGAAATACCTACTGTGCCTTCCACACACCTCCAGTAGTGCCTTCAGCACTATAAAAATATGCGTATATATACTCGTTGATGCATGCCCTTCCTTATAATCCTTATATATTGAGATTTGCCCATCGACAGGTTCATCTGGAGGATCTTTGGATGGCGGATCTTTCGGAAAACCTTCATTTGGTGCGAAGAATTCTGGAAATAGTTCCCATGGCATCGCATCATGGCTGCTTCAAGGCAAGTAGGTGTCACTCATAGCTTCCGTCAGCGCCTGGAACAGCATGAAAAGAAAAAAATGTCTTGGGTCGCTCAACATTGCTTTCTTCTACAATAGTTCTTTCATCTAGAGCACTCAAAGACTCAAAGCATTTGTAAACTCTAGAATACACCTTTGAAGCTACAAATGCTCAAAACCCTGGCAGAAGAGAAGCCTTCTTGTGCAATCGCTCTCGGACTCCTCCTCCCTCTGTGTGCAGTGGATTAGAGTTCCGTGTTGAACATGTGTGTGTGTGTGAAACCCTTGGAATCACAGGGAATCCGTTGATTTCTTAGCAGGGGGTGCAAGCATCCCATCCAGTCTTGTACCAACGAAGACACTGGATGCACGCTGGTGATGTCGATTTGGGACGCCAAATCGACATACCTGCTCTGAACACATTGACTCCAATTGGACTCCAATGGTCCTCCTTCGCTCAGGCTGCTTCCAAGTTCATTAGGTGCTGTAAAGTGCTACTGAGCTCTGCAGATGTGCACGATCGTCGTCATCGTGTCGCGTCTTTCCGCTTTTCGTGAACTTCGACCTCGATGGGATTTGAAACCTTCATGCTCTGACCGCTTTACATACCTTACTCCTGGTTTCTTAGGCGTTCATACCTAGGTGGGCGTGTGGCAGGTGGCATTCAGTTTCCGTACGCAATATCTCGAGTGTGTGTGAGGATGTAAAACGATGATGGGACAAGTCCCAAAGTTTCTCGAATACAAAAAATAGACGCCATTAAAACCCGGTATACTTGTTGTCTCTACCTATTCCAATACGGTCTCTTCTCTGAGAAGTTTGTTTCTGGCGCCTGTCGCATGTCCATGAACTGTTTGAGCCTCGGTGCATCATTCTCAGTCTGTCAGTCTGTCAGGCTGTCAACTTTATGTCAGTAGTAGCTTCTTGTTACTAGTAGTATTGCCAGGAGCTACTAGTAGCGTCCTTGCTCGTAGTAGCATTGCCCTTTGCTGCTGTCGCCTTTATGTCATCATTGAGTCAAATTTGGTGCGAGTCTTTCCCGCATGTGGGGTGCCCAAAGTCGTCGGGCGAGTCTCACTCAGGTCCCGGCTCCATCAAAGGCTCTTTGGCCATTGACTCAAATGCTTTGTCAACAGCTGCCTGTCGCTGGTCAGTCTACCTCTGTATACCCAGATTTGCTGCACTTGAGTCACAATAACTACATGCCCTGCCAGAAAAGAAGCACCCTTTCAGGCCAAGCTGGGGCAGTTTGTCTCTTTGGCGTTTCTGGTGTTCCAGGGCGCTCGGACCCCCCAAACCCGGCGCCTCGTTGACGCGACCGGACCACACCAACTTCACCATGGCTTTCAGCCGATCGCGCTCCACCTCCTCCGCGCTGGACGAGAAGGAACACGCGCTGGACGAGTTCAAGAATGACCAGGGGATGGATGTCCCACCTGGTCCTAAGGCTTCCTCACCACGTCCCGTGCCGGCGCGGAGAGTCCGCGCGGCACCCGCCGCCCTTGTTGGACCACCCATTTTTGGGACGGACGGAGAGCCCAAAACATCGATGCTTAGGGGAAAACCCCGACAGTAAAACTGCTTGGGGAACAAAAGGCGCCCGTGACCTCGCAAAAAGGTCCACCCGGATCCAGGCCCAGGAGCGTCATGAGGTGCGAAACGAACTCGTGTCACGTGACCTCGCGTGGACCCGTGACCTCGTGTCGGTTCAAGAGCCCAGCATCGAAGCATTGGTAGGGACGAAGCATAACTAACCCGAAGCATGCGGATTTAGCGTTTTAAGGCATCTAAACCATATTCATGAACTCATCTGAAGGTCCAAGATGCTGCATGCCGTGGTCTCGGTCCCTTCATCTAGGTTCCAAAGCCATGATAGGTATTGTGCACCGATGGCACAGGTGGATATTTCGTCCAACGCTCTTCACACGAGATCCCGGTCCTTTTCGCCATTTCCCAGCGCTCGGAAAATGTCCCTCATGCTGTCGGCGGTGCTTCCCCTCTGGCTGATGGCCTGCAGGTAGTCGTCGTGACTTTTTCGCAGGATTGGATGCCAGCAAGTGGCACTAGCAGCTACTAGCACCAAAGCAGACGAATCTAACATCTAAACATGGCTGCTTGTGGCTAGCGGTGAGTCTTTGAAGCAAGCACAAGTACTCTGGACTCAAGAGCTTGGTTTTCCCAGAAAAAAGACATGCGACACGCTCGAGCGAAAAACGCCCACATGGCGCCGCTTCCTCCCCCCAAAACAAGCGGTCCTGAAGAAATCCAACAGCGCTGCTCGCCAACTCCTCACACCGAGAGAGGAGGAGAAAAAGTGAGGCACGGGAAGAATCGGAAGGATGTGCTCTACATGTCACAGATTGTCCAAAAATAGGACCGGTGATTGAAAGACTACAGCTGTTCCAAGCATTGCTGGTCGTCTGAACACCTCTATCCCTAAGCCCAACTTGCCCAAGCACAGGGATCCCTTCCCACGCGTCCTCCCAAATGTGACGTGCTCCGTCAGGCTCCTGTTCTAGATGGCCTGCCACAAGTCGCGACAGCACGAGTGTGTCCACCGCTCGCATCCTCCAAGAAAAAAGTCCAAGAGCCGCTACCTACACGGAACCGTATCATCAAGCTGATCGGATGCTTCTGGAACTTAAGTCTGCAAACACCTTGGCTTAACCCGATTCTTCACTCATCCGCCTTTCACGGCCGGGCCAATGGACACGGCGTCCAACAAAAAGGAGTCGTGCTGGCGGGTGGCGAATCGAGCGAAGCAGCGGATGAAGCGAGATGAGAAGGTGTTGCGCCCAACAAAGAGGCCACAACATCCCAGAGATTGGCCAAACAGAGTCTGTGCCAAAAGTGCACTGATTCCGTGTCAGGACTATTGCAATCTGTACTGATTCAGGTGGGAGGTTTCACAATGTTTGACAAAGCTTCAGCTTGAGAGGTGAGTGCAGGGTGGAGCGCACCCCTCTATTGAACATCACATCATATATTTCTTGAAGCGATCAAACAATGTTGGGATCACTCCGTAGATGGAGTCCAGCTCGTAGTAGACCACTCCCTTGTTTCCTGCCTGGAAACATGCAAGATAGTCACGCTGCTCTGGAAAGGGACCCGCAAATCCACAATTGATCTTTACTGGATCATAAAATTGAGACATGGTACAAAAACTACTTTCCTAGGAGAGCCCAGGAACCCGAGAAGTTTCACAAGTGTCCATTCCCAGCTTACCGTAAAACGAGGTATACATCACCATCCCTCACGTCCAAGGAATCTCTGACAGGTCCTTTCGCAACGTGTCGGCAATCTCCTTCTGCTGCCAAACGGGAAACAGTACCTCCGGCAGCAGCAGGGCCCCCTGATTTTTTGGGATGGAACTGTCCTTCTTGCTTCCTTTTTTTTCGTTCCTGGTCTCAAAATCCCAAATCCCTCGAAATCCACCAAAAAGACTCCCTGCAAAAAAAACAGGCCGCACATGGACGGTCGACCCCTTTCGGATGAACGGGAGACCGCCTTCCATCGATCCGAGCGGGGCACATCATGCTGCACTCCGATGACCAGCGCGGGCATCATGGCTTCTTTCAGACCCTCCAGAAGGCTGGGCTTGCCATCCTGCAAGGCCAGCATCAAGAAACCCATGCTTCATTTCGGTACACCTTTTCAACCTTGAAAACGCACAAAGTCCGTTCAGTGCAGATTGTTTTGGGCCGTGTTTCGGATGGTTTCTTCCCACAAAAACCTCACGAGACCGAGTCGGCCCAAACCAAACGCTCGCTCTTCTTCCAACGCGCTCTTCTAACATACGGATTGCCTTCCCGTCGCACGAATCGCGAACGAGGCATCGCGAGAGGCGCGACGTGAGAGGCATGCGCGCGCGTGGTCCCTGTCGGGCTTCTCCAGCGAAAATCCATCCATGGCCTGACGTCGAAACCACGTCGAAACCACGGACGTCGAAGCGTCGAAACAACATACTGTGGAGACGTCGAAGACCAAGAAGGGCGAAAAAGAGTTCACGCGGTGCATGGTCAAAAGCAGTGGTACAAATGATTGGGAGGCAATGGTCAGAGGGTTCAAAATCAAACGACCTCGTCTTTGCTCTTGGTACAAAATGGACGTTCCCCTTCTTGATCCCTTTTTTCGTGCAACAAAACCGTGATGCTTTAACACAAAGAAAAAAACGCAGGGCCTTTGAGATCCACAAGAGTGAGTTGGGGTCGTAGGCATTGACCCACTTCCTCAGTCGCTCGATCCGAAATCTTCGCTGCGAACTCAAGACTCGACTTGTCAGCCCCCTGACTGTGAGGAGCAAGCTCTCCCTGGTGAGCCAGGTAGTTCTCGATCATGAACTCGTTCTTGAGACCTCCCCAGCTGTGGAAGACTCCGTTGGGCCGACCACGATTCAGATTGAAAGAAGAAACTCACCCACGAAAAAGCGGCCGCCCAAAACCCGGCTCCCAGCCTTCTCTCTTGGTGATGCCCTTGGCCAAGCTCTGACCAAAGCGCTGCTGCCATCTCAGCAACCATGCTAATTGGACTCATTGGTGAGTGAAGATGTCCTGGTGTCCTTACAAGCTAAAGTCAGCTTCTATGGTAATACAAAGTCTCTTCGTTCGGCTTCCACTGCCTTCGTTCGGCTGTCGCCGCATCGAGAGATGCGGCCAAGTGATCGGCAAGAGCTCAGGTACATCCTCTTTCTTTCGATCAAATACCCATCTATCCAATGGCAACAGCTCCGCCCCTATTCTCTTCCATCCAATCGGGACACCGGAAAGCCAGCAGAGCCTGTTTACGGGGCTGCCCACGCAGCCCCCGTTGACACCCACCTTCATGCCCGTAGGAAAAAGGAATAGCCACCATGTGTGCCACATGCCTGTGTTTGAGCAAAACTCAAATACACCCTCACAACTAAAGGTATATAATAAATATTGATTTCTTTTTCAGGTTGTACTGGCAGAGCCATTTTCGGAACCTCTCGGAAGGTTCACACCTGAACCTAAACCTTTCAGAAACCTGACTGTGGCAGGCTGACTGTGGCTGTGGCAGGCTGAGTCATGTGGCTGTTTTCCTGTGCTCGTGTGGCTCTGAGGTCTCGCACTCCAGACCAGAGCGGTAGGTGATCGTTCCAAGCCTTGGGACGGGCTGGGTGCCGGTGGGTGAGAGAAGCGGAGGGCGACCCACTGTCCACCCCAGAAATAGATGGAGAGGGCCCCTCCAGTTGGAGAGAAGCGAACGTGACCCACAAGCGGATGAGGTGTGAGACTTGGTGTTGCTTGAGTTGAGGATGTGGCTGCCGCGCCAATCTCAAGCCATTTGCTGGTAACTGGCCATCGTAGTAGTCCTCGGCTCTCATTTCTTTTTAATTCTTCTGCTTTCTAACTCCTGACAGCTTCATTGATGCAACGTTCCTCCACTCAGGGAGATCTAGGAAAAAGGGATTTGAATGCTTTCTCCCTTTTTAACTGTCTTTCGATCAACAAGAACGGTTTCGCCTTGGTTTCATCAGCGACCTCCATCCTGAGGCTGGCACCCCTCCTCGCCAATTGGGATCTGACATGATTGCCTGCACCGGGCGATTATGAAGACACGTAGCAGCGTAGTGATGTGTTTGTTGAACGGGAAAGTATCCAAAGGATTTGATATTATCTTATGGTGTTGTGTAGCAGTACAAGTCAACAAAAGTTGTGACACGACTGGAATAACAAAGGCTCTATTCTGTTCATCCTGCAGTGGGTGCTTGTATTTGGTCTGTGTATAATCGGTCTACAAAGCCCCAGGAAAGCCAAGGGATGCTCATCTCAACATCTTGACAAGACGAGACTTCTTTCGTACTCGTTTTGCTGGTGTCACTGCCAGCTCAGAACATTTATTCCACCAACTCCTTGTGTGTGTGGTCCAGCCTGACGTTGGGCATGGCGAAAGGCAATACTACCTGGAAAGCTCTTGGCACCTGCACGAAGCCACTCTTAGCAGCGAAAAGCTGAAAGGATTCAGGAAGGACCCCCCGTTTCAGCCAAAGCTCGACTGGCGGCGGTTCTACCGTCTTCAACATAGTCAATGAACGTCATGAAGATGTTCTAAAACAGTCTGACTGGGATCTGAGCCGTCTGAGTTCTGAGGTTGGGGTGTATTCCCAGACGTAAACCATGAACAAGCTTCATCTTGCTGAGCTCAGAGCAGGCGGAGATCGAAACAAACTTGCGAACCTCAAGTAAGTCACAAAGGATTGAAACTAAGAACACGGCAAAAACAAAAAACATCAGGAGGTGTTTTCTTCTTCTACGTGACGAAAAGAAGCGTGCACTTCTTCTTCTTCTTCTTCTTCTTCTTCTTCTTCTTCTTCTTCTTCTTCTTCTTCTTCTTCTTGCTCAGCTCTTGGCACGGTCCGGGAACATCGAGGCAGCGCAAACACTCTGCATGCCTGACGACACCACGAGCGACGGAGCAGTGACCGCTTCGCCCAGCCAGGCGGTTCGACGGCGGGTCGACCACAGCAGCCACCGAAGAGGGGCCTCCCAAGGATGCACCAACCTGAAAAGACTCATGTGCACATGTTTCAGACCTCTAAAAACCAGCAAAAGAGCAAAAACGGCCACAAATGCACATGTTTCAGACCATTGGTCGACAAAAGACTGCATCAAAAAAAACGAAGGTCCATCTCAGTTCTCCACACAGGCATGAACCTGGTCGATTCCCAAGTGGTCTAGGAGAACGAACTGTGCTGCTACCTGATCTTGCACCTGACGGTTCTGGGAAGTGCCTCTCCTCTAAAAGAAGTTGAGATGAGATGTGCCAAAAGCATATGGCATATTGCAACATGCGGGCATCTACATTGATTGGTTGTGTGAGTTGTGTGCCACAGAGCGAGGTGCACTCAAATCCATGTGAAAAACACAATCTCTGAGAAAGACTCCACCGCCTCGAAGCGCGGAAAGCTGCTTCCATATCGTTGGCCGGTGTGGCTGTTGATCGCAGATGGCCCACTGGGCAGAGTCGCAGATCGCTTGCACTTATTAAGTCAATGTTGTCCAAATCAAAGGGCCTTGAACCATAGCACCCACCAAGGTTGTTAGTGCAAATCACCTCATTTCATGCCGCAGTGATCGATCCACAAAGACATCGGTTCAGGCGGATCTGAGGCTGAAGGCATAGAACAAATTCGTGTCCAAAGGTCTACCAGGGCCGATATATTCCTCCACATCGCAGGTCATTCGCGAGGGCTACATCGGAGAAGCCCCGCAGATCTGTCGCGTGCAAACACAGCAACCTGGTGCAGTCCTCCCACCAACCCGGCGCAGGATTCCGAGCATGAGAGCAAGCATGGGAAGAGGCTGACATACCACACCTGAAAAATAATTGGTGTCTGAAAAGCAGTCAGATGGTGGTGTGGTCGATGAAAAAGATCTGAACAAAGCTGCTGAGCTTTGTGCTGCAAAAGAATGACATTGTCTTTCTTGTTGTTCTGACAGGGTCACTCACATCGGATCTGCTTTGTTCAACAATCGATCTGTTTTGCTGTTGCTGGATGAGGGCCGCACCAAGTGACCCCAGGTTTCGTAGGCAATTTGCAACCTGACGAGTCAAATGAAAGGCGCAGCGCAGCAATTCTGCTCCGCTGACAATCCTGCTCCGCTGGCAACCGACGATCCGCCAAAAATGGCGTAAGTTCGCCACTCGGGGATTTGCTCACCATTGCGGAAAGTAAAGGGCGCACTTCTGTGGAAAAGGTGATACCTGCAGGAGACGAATCAGCCAAAATCAATGCCATATCTGGACACTCAAGACATCAATAAGATCCGGGCCCTTCAAAATTGCCACCAGTGTGGTACTCACAGAATCACAGGTTCTTTTTCAACAATGCTTCTGGCACGTGTTGAAACACAAGGAATCACTGGTGAGTCCTGCTTGGCAAACCACATCGTCTTTGAGAAACAAACTGCTCGGTAAAAAGAATAACGTTCATGAGAAAACGGCTAGCATGAGTCACGAAAGCAGGGCACAAAATAAAAGAGATGATTGCCATGCCCCATGTCCCATGAGTCGGCTCCGAGCGGTATATAGTGATCCCCAAATAGATAGAAACGGCTTTAAATACGTTTTGAAGGGGCTTTCACTTTTCTATCTATTTAGGGGTCTATGTGCATATATATATATATTATACATATACATTGAGCTTACAATGATTCAGTTGGTTGTCACCTCTCCTCAGGCTCTTTGGCAGCCACAGCGAATGAACGGGCAGCTCCAGCAAAAGGATGCAGCCTGGAAGACAAAAGATCACTCCAGCGGAGACGTTCGAACATCGTCCCAAAAAGCATTGGACATTCAAGTGGTCATGGACCGCATGGAAAACATCCATCCCCTCCATCCGACGCGAGTTCGGCGCGTTGGGTTTCGGCACACCGCCGAAGCACCGAAAACGCCTGTAGCGCGACGGGCGAAACATCTGTCGCATCGCCATCACCTGCGACCCAGAAAGAAGGGTCCGGAAAAAAGCCAATATCTTCAAGTGCTGCATCCGAATGGCAACACCATGTGAGAGGACCCAATGTTCTGTATGGTTTATGCATCTTCAAAACAAAAAAAATCATGGTCCATGGGGTTCGTCAATGGACCTGCATGTTGCGCAGATGCCGAGCCATCGGCTTCAGAGACATCCCGGGGGCACTGGTGACTATAAGTGGTACATATTTGCTGTTTCAATTGTGGTGACATATTTGGTGGTTTTCACCCAACCGCTAGAGGAGATTCTTGATTGGTGTTAATCCCATGATGGTCCGGGAAAATCTCGGCACAGCTATAATCTGCGAACACACAAAAAACAGCAAATGCCAGGCAAAGAACTCATGTCAAGTCACGAAGAATGGAACCCTTGTCAGGCAACCAAAGTGCACCATGAACAAAACCATGGACCCACATGTTCGCACCAAACTATATACAACTCCAATGACCACATGTTCTCGAATTCCAAGCAAAAAACAACACTGTTGAAAGTCTAAGGCGAGTCTAAGGACAAACTATTTGATTGGGACGCTTGGCCGTTTGGCACACATTTGGAACCGTCAAGCAACACGGCATCCAGTGTGCAGCCGGTACGCTGCAAGTAAAAAGGAGGCCTGCAAAACAAAGAAACAAACAAGCAGGCCAGTAAGCAAGCAAACAAGCAAGCAAGCAACCCGCCTTTTGGTCAGTTTGGCGCTAGGGTCGTTGCCAAATGTGCAAAGAGTTTCGCTACGGAGTTGGCTTTGGGTTTTTGCAGGTGCAAAAGTAGGAGTTTCGACCGGTGCGGGTTGCCCACAGAACCGTCGATTAATTTTGTTTTTGTGCTGGCGTGTATTGGCCAGCGCATGCTTAGCAACGTTGGACACTGAGCTGAGAAAAAGGGCGTTAGTCGGCTCAGTGTTTGCGCGGAAAATTTTTGGTTTAAGTTGGGGCGAAGGGTAGGATGCAAAGGTCGCTAGGGCATGCAAAAAGAACCTGGCAACGAAGGGAATGAACAAAGCTGGCCAGTGGGGCATGGAAGATGCACCGGCCAACAGAGCTGATGAACAAACAAAGCTCGGAAATGAAAAGCGCTAAGACATCATGGGCCAAGATTTTTTTTAACCAATGCCAACGCTTGGCACTGAGCTGAAAGACCCCTTGCTGACGGAAACAATGAGGAGCGAGGTGTATGCACGATGAAACCTACACTAATTCTGTATGGACGAAAGGCTGATGCAGCCGTGCATGACAACCGTTCCCCATGTACAATCACATCAAAGTGGAGGCTTTAGACACGCCTGCAATCCCAGAGAGGAAGCGAGTGACCTCAGTCGAAAACAAATTTTACCGCGTGCTCATCCCACCTTCATTGCATCACGCACTCAAATCGAACAACGCGAACACGATTCAAGTTCAATTTTGGTCATTTTGAACTAAATATATACAAAATCAGCCTACTAAAAAAATGGAACCTTTGCTGGTTCATGTTTCCACGTGGAGAGTAGATGGCACAATCCCCAAAAGGTAATTTATATGGATCCCCATCTTAAAGACATCTTGGGGTTTGTGCCATCTACACTGAAACCATTGCAAACGCATTGCCATGAAGACCATGGAGTGTAGTGGTTGGAACTCAACCTTTTCACGAAATTGGCGGACTTCAATGCCACCCGTTCACGCGGTGCAACGATCTCCCCCAAGAAAGGCTTCATGTTATCGTGTTCAGTCTTGACGCTTTGCCACACGCCGTGCGATGACTTCTCACCCATTGTGAGCCCGACACTGTTCGGCATCATCATCATCATCATTTTTTCTTATTATATATTTTTGTTTTCTTCTGATTTTTTTCTTCTTTCTTTTTTTTTCTTTCTTTGCTTTGTTTTGTTTTGTTTTGCTTTGCTTTGTTTTGCTTTGCTTTGCTTTGCCTTGCCTTGCTTTGCTTTGCCTTGCTTTGCTTTGCTTCGCTTTGCCTTTCTTTGCCTTTTTTCTTTATTTATTTTTGTGTTTTTTTTTCTTTATGTTCTTTGTTTTCTTTTCTTCCTCTTTCCTTTCCTTTTCTTTCCTTTCCTTTCCTTTCCTTTCCCTTCCTTTTCCTTTCCTTTCCTTTCCTTTCCTTTCCGTTCCGTTCCGTTCCCTTCCCTTCCCTTCCCTTCCCTTCCCTTCCCTTCCCTTCCCTTCCCTTCCCTTCCCTTCCCTTCCCTTCTCTTCCCTTCCCTTCCCTTCCCTTCCCTTCCCTTCCCTTCCCTTCCCTTCCCTTCCCTTCCCTCCCCTCCCCTTCCTTTTTTTTTTCTTTCTTTCTTTCCTTCCTTCTTTCTTTCTTTCCATACGCTCATCGAGTGATGACAGCGTGGATCCTTTGATTCGTCTGGGCCCCGTAGGGCCAGCCAGCTTTCAGCGGCTGAAAGTTCGGTCGAAAAGCCGAACCGTCGCAAGCATGGACACGGGCGGTCCTCAGTCAAGTCAGTGCCATGAAGTGGCTGGCAGGCACACCACCTGCCCACCAGAATGCCAGTGTCCAGGCAGTTTAGTGCCGGAGCCACTTGGCGTGCCAATCATCGTTGATGGAGGGGTCATGGATGATGTTGTTCATCTTCTCTTCATCCGTCAGGATGGGGGACTCTTCCGCCGGCAAAGAAACCTGCTCTGCCCCACCATGAGGCATGCAGCTGAGCCACAGGAGACAGCGATTCTCCTGGACCACCAGCGGCACCGTCGAGAACTTCACCGGCATGTTGCCGTCGTTGAAGGTCCACCACAACCCACCCTCGACGACAGCAGTGCAGTAGTGACCACTGGTTGGCTCAGACCGCAAGTGGTAGGAGACCGCTGTGACCTGGTAGGGGTGTGATCGACCCCCAGCTTAGAGTCGCAAGAGAGGCGTATGTGACTCTTCCTACCCCTCGGGTCAAAGCGGTCAATATGGAGACATGTTACATCTGCCGGCTCAGTCAAACCGTGGAGGCCGAAAGAAGCCACGCTCCAGCTTGAGATCAATCCTTGCAAGTCAGTGGGCAGCAGTGTATTCTTTTGTTCACTGCTCATGTAACAAGGGGCACCCCAGGGCGCTTTGATCCACCACACGGATCTCTCCGTCTTGCTCCAGCCGGGATTCCCAACAACAGCTGAGAAAATTGGGGTTCAGCTGCTGAAGAAGATGGTGAGCACAATCGGTCGCATCATGTTGTCTAGGGGGCTCCGGCCAGTTGGACAAAAAGGTGGTCCATTGCCCGTCAGACCAGAAAAAGAAGCGGTTCGCCCCCTTGTGACACATCTGCAATTTTCCCAAAGACCCCCGGAAAGTTGGACCAATGGTCCTCACTCAAGCCATCTGCCTCTCGTGCGCACCAGACCAGGCCGGCGACAACTGAGTTCATGTAGCAAGCGGGCTTATCCAGCAGCGGCCTCAGAGGAGGAGTGGAGGCCTCCTCTAAAGTTCCTAAGACACACTTGTATGATCCTGACCCTGCACTCATTGGAAACATCTGAGGTCTAGGGCTCACTCCAGGCGGACTCGAGGCTTCAGTGGGTGGTCCAAGCGTCACAGCTGGACTCGTAGGAGTCATACTCTCCATGGCTCACAAAAACGGCTCAGAGAAAACCCTACAAACAGTTCTCCTTTTTCACAAAGCGTCTGCCCCTCACTCTTGGGAGCCTCGGAGTCCGCTACCATCTGAAAACACGGAAGCAGTTGCGACCCCTTTTTGAATCCCACTCTTGAACCCAACGTTACAGTAGGCTTGACTGTATCTCTGTTCATCCACTCTTCTCTGAAGAGGTCTGACTGGTCACAGTCATCCAAAACATACTCAAAGTCCAAGAAAGCATCTCAAAACACTCACATAGGGCTTCGAGACATGCTCCTGCCCACTTCTGGTCCCATTCCACTTCGTCCTGCTAAGGTGGTCAAAGAGAACACTCCAAGGAGGAAGATCCCCACTCAGCTCCAACCCCAAGGACAGAAAAACGAAAAGTCCCACAACAAAGAGGTACTAGGCCAAACTCTGTACAGGCGCGCTACCTGCACTTTTTCGCATCCATGGAAGTGATCGACTGTCCAGCAACGCACTCCGTTGTGATTGGAGAAGCTCTTGGTCAGATTTGCGGGGGGCATCCTGTCCCAACAATGATTCCGTTCGGCTTGGATTGAGTGGTGAACATCTTGGCTTTTTTTGCACGAGCACGGACGCCATGTGTGCGGTGTGCACAGGTCATCATGTGAAGGATGGAGACTCTGCATATTGGTGAGGGGAGCAAAACCACAAGAAAAAAACAACACAACAACAACCCCCAAACAAAAACCCCCAAAAACCAGCACCAAAAGACCCCTACAACCAATATGGGCAGAGTTTCGCACTGTACTAAGGTGAGACTGGTGAGACGTGAAAGATCGTTTAACTAACTAGTCGGGCCTGAGTTCACGAAATTTGCCATACAATGTAATGGGACATTGAGTCGCTACCCTTGAAGGCCATTCGCCAGTGGCCTTCAGGAGCGGACAAGGCGCAGGTCAGCCCTTGCCAGGTTTGGTTGCAAGCACTTCAGCCACAGTTTCAGCTGGTGCGGACTGTTTGCAGCACTTCAGATCAGTTATGATCCTTAACGATCATCAGTTGCAATGCTTACTGGCCTTGGAAAACAGCCTGCCTAAGGCACAGCTGTTACACACGGCTGCACAAGCAGAGGCGACTGTGGCCGGTCGTGGGCACGGTGGTGGACATTGCAAATAAGCGTAGCGCAGGCAACCCACAAACCTCCCTCGTCCAGGGGAGGCTGCTCACACCCGCCCAATAGCCTCCCGGGCAGGCAGCAGCGGGAGCTTGGGGGGTGTGCAAATATGCAAAATCGGATGGATAGAGCGGTCATCATAGGTCACTATCCCCAGACATGCGTGGCCCTGGTGAAACATGGTGAAACAGAAAATATCTCCCAGCATGGCCCTCACACACCAACCAAGGAGGATACCCATCGTCGGACCTCACCACCATGGAAACTTGGCGCAACGTGGCTCGGCAGCTGTGGCGCGCGCAAGGTCTTCCTGCTGTCAGTGAGCTGACCTGGCTGCGAGCCTCAGCTCCTGGCCGTAGACGGTTGGCACCCAGGTGAGAACCTTAGTTCTTCGCCTGGAGTGAGTCTGCACTCAGTGAAGAGGGTTTGGCGACAGGGTTTCGCTTTGTAAACTGGGTTCATGACGGCTCGT